CGGGAAAATTTTTGGCGGGAAAAATTTACAAGGTATTTTAAAGGTTTTTTACAAGGTATTTACAAGTGTTTTGTAAGGTTTTACAATGTATTTTAAAAGGTTTTACAATGTACTTTTAAGGTTTTATAAGGTATTTATAACTCGTAAAACCTTATAAAAAACTTGTAAAACCTTATAACTTGTAAAAACCTTATAAAATAGCTTGTAAAATCTTATAATATCTTATAAATACCTTGTAAATACGTTGTAAAGCCTTTTAAAATACATTGTAAAACCTTATAAATACCTTGTAAAAAACCTTTAAAATACCTTGTAAATTTTTGGCGGGAAAAATTTTCCCGCCAAAAATTTAACGCCAAAAAAATTGCGGAATCACTTTTCCCGCAAAAAACTTTTTTTGGCGGGAAAATTTTTTGGCGGGAAAAAATTTTACGGGAAAATTTTACAAGGTATTTTAAAGGTTTTACAAATTTTTACAAGTGTTTTGGCGGGAAAAATTGGGGGATCACTTTTCCCGCCAAAAAATATTTTGTATTTTGTGGACCTAATTTTGTTATATTTCCTTATATATTTATGATATCTTTTATTAAAAGAAGGGTAATTTAGTCATTTTGTACATAAAAGGGGTATTTTTAAAAATGGACATCCAAAAGGGGCATTTTTGAAAAGGGGTATTGAAAAAGGGGCATTTTTGTGAGTCTCCCTTAATTATAAACAATTTAATATTTTCTTTACAATTTGTTATTAGGAATATTTATAAGTACATTACACAATTCGTTCTACTAAAAACACGCACAATATTAAAATCAACGTATGTAAATCAATATTCTCCCGCGGTGGACCGCGGGTCCGATCCTAGTTCCCTATGTATAATGACTCCATCTCTTTATTTAAAAAAAAAACATTTTTATGAGTTTATGCTATGTTAATTATATCTTTGATCATGGTTTTATCTATTATTTATGTGTTGTTGCATTTGAAAGTTTATCTCTTATGAGTTCATGCTATGTAATTTTATACTTAATTTTGAGAGAATTTTATTATTATAACTATTAGAGATTATATAAACAAGTAAAAATATTTCTTTTATCAACATATATAACTAATTAATAAAATTGAATATATTTAAAATGTAATTTAATATGATTTAAAGGATACTCCTATTAATTAGAAATCTTCTAATTTGATAAAATTTAAAATAAATATTCAAGTAAATTACATTACAAATATTAAACTATAATTAAAAAATAGCAATGTAGGTAAAAAATCATTAAATTTTTTAACATGCACTAAAAATAATACTATTATTTTATTGGATTTCGTACCAGTACTACACATGCTCTAATAGCCTCTTATTCATAGACAAACCCTGATATTCATAGCAATGCATGATCTAACTCTGATTCTATCTCAGTGGAAACCATGAGCCAAGTTGATTTCTCCGGTAAGGTCTCTCTTTCGATATCTTGCTTGAATCGATATAAATGTTATATTGTAAATTATTGGTTAATGGATGTACGTAATTCTATTGTATCTTCGTAATTGTTTATATGCTTCTCCGTTTTGTATAGATGGTTACATATGCGTCTCTGGGACGTCGAGGATTACCCAATCCCTCAAGATTTCGAACCTCGTTTGATTTTTAAGAATATCAACTCAGCTCTTTCGAAACTGGGTTTTGGTGGTTCGTTTTTGGGAATCGAGGCTTATGGTATGAAGGAGATCCCCGAAGCCTTATCTGAAGAATTGATCGAAGACGGAATGATCATGTACAATGTTAACCCCAAAGGTATATTCCTTTACCTAAACATCTTAACACTTTTTCTACTTATATTTATGTATGTCAGTCATGACTCATGACCTACCTAAATCTCTGTTGATATGTATATAGGTTCAGTTAATTTAATGATACGGGACATTACGAACATAGAATCTAACTATTCTGATAAGCCACACAATTTGATGGTAATCTCCAAAAAAATCCCTGAAGACAATGAGTCCATGAGGGTTCTTTCGGCTTTGAAATCCAGAGGTCGCAATGTTCTGTTGGTACAGCCTGACGATGAGACCGCATCAGAAAAGCTATTTCTTACTCCAGAGTCCATATCTGACTGTACAAGATATTTAAATGGAGAAAAGCGTATAGACGAAATTGTTGACTATACTTCTTCTTGTACTAGCTGGGAAACTGATACTGATACTGATACTGAGAAAGAGGAGGAGTCCAATGTTCTCTTGGTACAGCCTCATGGTGAGGCCGCATCATCAGAAAAGCTGTTTCATACTTCAAGCTCAGTATCTGATTGTACAAACCTATTAGATGGAGGAAGTATTATGGACCAAAGCGTAAGCTCACAAGGTGTTGACAATATCACTACGTGATCTATTTTTATTTTTATTTGTTTATGCATGCCTTATCCGGTTTGCAAAGATGACGTTCTCGGATCGGATGACTTAGTGGATGAATATCGGAAAGCCAAAATTTACTTTCTTCCCGGAGGTGAATTCTCTCAACTCTTTGTCTCTCTTACATATATGTATATGTAATCTCTTTCTCCGATCATGCATGTATATTTTATTATTTTTACAGGTGATAAGAATGCGAGATTTTATAGGATGATACATGACATTCAATTGTGGAAAATAGATACATTACCTCTGAGGTATCCTACAGAATCAACTGTGATCGTCATCTCAAACAACATCCCAGGTGACATTGACTTCATCGAATGTCTTAATTGTTCAGCTTCGAGAGGTTACAATAACCTCTTAGTACAGCCTAATGAGGCTGCACCCGAAAAACCAGAGACCTCAGAATAAGTATCTTGGCCATTCTGAATGGTTTTACTGAAAAACCAGAGACCTCAGAATGGTTTTACTGAAAAACCAGAGACCTCAGAATGGCCAAGATACTTATTACATGGAGGTTACAATAACCTCTTAGTACAGCCTATCGGTCTAATCAGATATTTACTGCCGCGCAATCAATAGTTGTTTCCATTGAGCGGAAGAAGAAACATAAGGCAGCAGAAGAGCGGTGCATATACCCGTTTTGCTACTGGTATGAGTACAGAGATGATCATAACCGTTGTAATAACATTAATGTCTCGACAAGTAAACATGGTTGCAGCGGATTTATATATAGAACGATCAGTTTTATTCTAATTTCTAGTTGCTTATTGTAAGCCTAAAATTGTAGTGTTTGTTTTATTAATTCTGTTTTTCAGCTATTTAATCATCTTGTTCGTTTTCGTCATTTATATCCGAAATGGAGATGTAAATGCTGAAGCATGTTTTGCTTTTGTTGTGGAAGACCATGTTCTCAACAAATCTCACTTGTTCAGTTGTTCAACATTTTCGTCATCTTTCAATAACCAAAGACAAAAAAACTGCCATTTTATTTACATATGAAATATCTCCAAATATGGTGTGAATTGAGTAATTTCTCCAAATATGGTGTGAATTTGTACAAGAAAAATTGAAAGATGTTGTGTATTTAGAAACAAAATATTTTAAATTATACTTAACTGTAATTCTTTCTTAGAATAGGAAAAAATATGATACTTTTTTAATAAAAGTTTTACAATTTACTGTATTTTAGAGATTTTACCTTTTTCTTGTATTTTTGGTGTAAAAAATAATTAAAATTGGTAAATTTTAAAATGTTCCTAGTTAATTGATTTCTTAAATACCTTTTAAACCCCCAATAACAATAAGCTTTAAAAAGTTTAAATTACTTTCCCTACTATTCAATAACAATCAAAATTTAACAAAAATGAATAAAGTAATGGATTGAATAATAAAAATTCCCCTTAATGGTAAAGATAAGGAAAACACGTGGCGTTTCTAGATTTGGTAGAATATGAACCAGAGAGAAAATAATAAAGAGAAGAAAAAAACGAACGGTGCTGATAAAAGTGAAAACCTAATCTCGCAATCGCAGACGTTGTCATCTCTCTTCTTTTCTCAAGCGTCCGATCAATCTCTCCTCTTCTCTCGATCTCTCTCCCTCTCTGCCTCCTTTCTTCCTCCAATCAACAAACACCTCTCTGTTTCACTCCCGCCCTTTTTTTCGAATTCTTCTGGTAATCTATCTTCTCTCTCAACTTCTCTGAGTCATAGGGTCATTTCAAATTTCGATTTTTTGTGTTTTGTCTATGATTTTCTTCGTTTTTTGTTGATGGGTTTTGTCTATTTTGTGTTAATTGTCGGAAAGTTAGGTTTTTTTTCTGAGATGGCGGAGTCACAGGCCAAGAGTCCCGGAGGCTGTGGAAGCCATGAGAGTGGTGGAGATCAAAGTCCGAGGTCGTTACATGTTCGTGAGCAAGATAGGTTTCTTCCGATTGCTAACATAAGCCGTATCATGAAAAGAGGTCTTCCTGCTAATGGCAAAATTGCTAAAGATGCTAAGGAGATTGTGCAGGAATGTGTCTCTGAATTCATCAGCTTCATCACCAGCGAGTATGTCCTTTACCTTTTAACACTTCTGTGTTGTGTTTGCTCTTGCTGAATGTTTAGAGGCTTGGTGGGAATGTTGAGATTTAGTTTCAAGTCTTAAACTTTATGGTGATTTTTGGGTTTTTCTTAACTAGTGAAAGTTGAGGCCTTTTTATTCCTTACATTGGTTGCTCTTTCTTGTTGTTGTTCTGCTTTGTTTGGCTTTGATGTTGCATATTAAATCATTCAGGTTAGGTTTACAAAGATTCGTTTGTAAGATGCAATGGTTTTTTTATAACTTTGATGAGCAGAGCGAGTGATAAATGTCAAAGAGAGAAAAGGAAGACCATTAATGGAGATGATTTACTTTGGGCAATGGCCACTTTAGGATTTGAAGACTACATGGAACCCCTGAAGGTTTACCTGATGAGATATCGAGAGGTATGTTCTGGTTTTTCCATATTTTCAGCTTCAATCCAATCAGTTACCTAACTTTATTTTCCATACCAAGAACAAAAGATTCAGTTTTGAGTATGATGTTAATTAGTTTTGCTGAAAGTTTTTGAATTTCACTCACTTACTCTGTTTTTCCTTTTCTTGTTTCTTTTTCTACTACCTGAACTGGAAAATCGCAGATGGAGGTCAGTGGTTCCTCATCTTCTATTTCTTGTTCATTCCTAAAACTTGCAACTATCTTGATAGTTTCGAGAATCATCCATTGAATATTATCGTTTAGGCAACTCGTGTATTAAATTATTGATGCTTCCCTCTTGTCTTAAACTATCGATAGGGTGACACAAAGGGATCAGCAAAAGGTGGGGATGCAAATGCAAAGAAAGATGGGCAATCAAGCCAAAATGGCCAGGTAGATGTCTCAAATCTCATGCTTTTTTTACATTTTATTTGTCTTTGCATTTATCTGCGTGTGTTCTCTCTTCTGCTTTAGCTATGACACCAACGGGTTTGGTTTACCATTTGGCAGTTCGCTCACCAAGGCTCTTTCTCACAAGGTCCTTATGGGAACTCTCAAGTAACGTTTCCTCGCTTTTCTTTCACACTCATTCTTCTCTTCCGTATCCATAGCTTAAGAGCGCTGTGGAACCCAATAATCGTGTTTTTGATGAACTATTAGACCTATACAGAACTGAAAATATGTAAAGCATCACTTTTAAAAGCTGAAAAAATCTCTGAACTAATTTTACATATGACTCGGTATAATTGTAGGCTCAGCAGCATATGATGGTTCCAATGCCGGGAACAGACTAGTATAAGGAGTATTCAACTTTGGCATGTTCCACCAAAAGAGGTTAATCTTATCTGTATATTATTTGTGCTGTGTAAGAGTTTTGCTATGCACAACTTGTGACAATAATCATCTCATTGTTTTGTTTTTTATTTCCTTGGATTTGTTCTTAATATGTCATCAATTCAGTCTATTTTTATAATTGGTTTGTTGATTATTTCATCATAAACGTTTCAACATCGGTCTAAAGAATGAATACATATTTGGAACATCATCGATAACGTGGAAAGATCCAGAATCTGTTAAACAACCCTACCTAAAATAGTAGGAACCCGAAATTTGATGTTTTAATTCCCTGCGTTATCTTTATTCTTATAGTAACGAAACAAAATTAGATGCTTATTGTTGTTATTTGGTTACAGTTGTTTTAATCGCGGCGTTATCTGTTAAACCAAATTAGAGATACCAAAAAAAAAAAAAAGTTAGTCGGAATAATCCAACGGTCAAAATTTCACAAATCAACGGATCACGTTCATTTCGGGCTCACTTAACATTGATAATATTAATATTAATAAATAAATAAGAAACCGCCGATTTGCTTCGTTTCAAATTCTGTCATCTTTTTTTGCGAATCCTCCTCCTTGGAAAATCTCGAGCGATAAAGCTACTTTTGATCGAATCTGTGGATTGTCTATGGGAGAAGAGAACGAGAACTGGAGAAGAGAGCTCGACGATATCAATGGGCTTAGTCTGATTGATATCTCCGTCGAAGATGATAACCTCCTCTTCTCTTCCTCTCTCGATCCCACCACCTTTGAATTCTCAGGTAATTTCAATTTCCATCTTCAATTTCTGGAAATTGTTAATTCTCATTGCGATCTTGTGGTTTGGTTCATGATTACGTTTTTTTTCTGATGATGATGGATTTAGAGACTGATAAGGAAGACAGAGGTCTTTGTTTATTTGGCGATACACATAATTGTTGTGATGAAGAGACTTTGGTATCTACTAATTTAGAAGAGAAGGAGCCTCATAAGATGATGAAGACTAACTTACGCAAGAGTCTTGCTTGGGATAAAGCCTTTTTCACCAATGCAGGCAAGTTTTTTTCTTTTGCTGTGTGTTCGGTAGATTTTTTATTTATTTAGTTAGTGTGTATTTGTTTACTTTTGCTGAGATATGTTGTTGAATTTAGGTGTTTTGGAACCGGATGAACTGTCTAGTATGATGGGGAGGAAAAGTTTACCAACGGTTCAAGAGGATTTGCTTAGATCAACAGAGTCCATATCTACATTGAAAAGTGACTGCACTGTGGAGACTGGTCAGGAATTTGTTATGTTTGATGCTGCAACACCTGACAAGAGTAAGGACTTTGGAGCCACAGAGGCAGTACCTACCCCAAGTAAGCTTTGTTTGTTTTAGCAGATATATAAGGTTCTGTTATGAATCTCAAATTGACCATCTTTTTTACATTTCTCATTTGAAATATGTAGCTACAAGTACACTAGACGACCCTGGCTCTGAGGATAATGTAAGTGCCAAAAAAACTTTAAGCTATGGTTTAATCTTGCACTCCCTCTCTGATTAACCATGTCTTTGGTTTGTTTGTTTCTCAGATGAAACCCAATCCTATTCGTAAAAGGCCAAGTATTAGGGCACAAGGATTAGGGATGTCGACAAAGCAGGTATGTTGATGACTCTCTATATATGTGCTTGTCTTGTTAAAGCAACTGACATGATAAAAGTGGTAGAAAATGTTGAGCTGTACAAATGAATTCAAAGTGGAAGCAAACTGATATTAAGCTTTTTTTGGTTGTTTGGTTGTGGTACATTTTCTATAGCCCGTCGCTTCAAAAGAACACAACACATCCATTTCCAGGCCATCCAGTAGACTCGGCAAAACTATAAGAGCTTTGGTAGATACTAACAAAGCCATACAAGAAACTAATCCTAATTTATCTGGAGGTTAGTCATAACTCTTTTTTAAAGATGTCTTTACGTGTCTTTCCAAACTATCTCTTTCTTTACTTCCGCATCTTACCGTGATCTTACAGGTAAAGAGCCTTTGGCTTCCAGAGTTCCAATTTCAAGAAGAACTCGACCCATTGTATCAACACCTGTAGTGCCTTTTAAATCTGCTTTACGTTCT